TGCTTCCTACTTTGGTCATAATATCATCTTACAATTCAAGATTATTTTCAAAAGCTTGTTAACATATTTTATTGAATATTATAATTTTTGTCTGTTATTTTCCCTTGTCTTTTACAGCCCTTCACAAGACCACTCCTGAACATTGACGACTGGAAGGAATGCCACAAAATATAGACTTGAGCTAACTGCATCCATAGACTTCCTGCAGGTCATATCACTCCATCTAGTGGGTGGAGTCCTCCCTATGTATGTTGATTCAAATAAAAATCTAAAGCATAAAGTTATTGTACTGTGCTCGGACTGTCCCATGTTTGAAAGTTTCGGCTTACACCGGTACGAGGCTACCACCTAAAAACCTTCAATTGTCGGTTCTTCAAGCTATATGCTAGGCCTATCGCCACTTGAGTTTACTAATCTGTTGGAATATATCGGTAACTCTGGTTCTACTGCAGATATCATCATTTCGAATTATATCATGCAGATAAGCTCCGAGCATAACGATCTCCTTAGGTTGCTGAGTGTCCTTGAGCTTCTTCATACCGTACGAAGATGTCAGATCCATAAGTCATCACTGGTTGCCCACGTTTGTTTTCAAATTATAAGGAAATTGTTATTATGTTTTTTTTCTAACGATATTTGACACAGCTGAGTTGTGATGGTTCAGGGAATAAGCATTTTATATTCGTAGTACTCAAGCACACTGAGTTTAATTCCCGCCAATGAACCCGGTTAACGGGTTTGTTCCCAATTATCACCAATGTAATTGATCATTATGATTTAATGTGTTGATTTATCACTTGCTCGGCGGGAAAGAAAAATATCGCAAGAAAACCTGAGACGCAGAAATTGCATGACTTAATTTCTCCCTCTTCAATCCATCATTGGACTATCAGATGCTCGGCTTGTCTCCGCCGGTTTGCTTCGTTATTCGTAATGCGCGCAACAAAGGAGCGGTATAATTTGCCAGCATCTGTCTTTCTAAATTAAATAGGAAATGAATTTGCATAAAAGTTGTATAAAAATCATTAAATATTGCATACGTTTATTGATTTTTGTACTTTAAAGAGGTGTTTGTTTTTAAACGTGGTAGAGCCATGCTGCAGCTATATTAATTGTATAGTTTCTAGCATAAATAGGTCGGCTCGTCTGGGGAAGGACCACGCTCTCACAGGATACCAGCTTAAAATAGCAGCTTAGTGCTGCTGTGTTTCGAATGGTGAGTGTAGAGAACCGGAGACTCTTTTTACTTTAAAAGATTCCATCCCATCTTAGTCCTCACGACTGAGAACGCATCTGCATTTTGATTCGTAATCGAGGATAGATGTAGATGTCTATGGGCCACAGCACCCACTTATCATCAGGTGGACTGTGTGCTTGCTTGTCACCCTTATCATATAAGAAAAGGATTTAATAACTATTTATTTAAGAGTAGCTGTTCCCCGCGACTTCGCCCGCGTGTTATTTGGGATTTTAATTTTTTTGCGCGGATCCCTAATTCTTTTTCTAATATAAAAGTAGCCTAAATTACTCCTTGTGATATCAGCTATCTGCCAGTGAAAATCCCGTCAAAATCGGTCTAGCCGTTTCGGAGATTAGCCGGAACAAACAGACAGACAGACGGACAGACAGACAGACAGACAAAAACTTTAAAAATTGTATTTTTGTTATTAGTACTGTATATACTTTCATATGCGTTTAGTAAAATGCTGTAATTTTGACATTACAAACAGACACTTCAGTTTTATTTATTTGTATAGATTTTTTCGAGGATATTTTGATGATATTTATTTAAGGTTTAATTTTAATGTATAATAACTTTATTCAAATGCAACTCAAACAGGGAGTGTGCGTGTTCAGTTGGTGGATGTTAACTTAAACTGCTATAGAGTTTGACACCCGTTCGGCAAGTCTATTAACGACGAAGATGCCAACCGGAAACGTCACTTTTACTGAAATTGATTCCCTTTCACATTTATATTTGATGGAATATATTTAACGACGAAGCACGCAAACAGCTTTGAGTTTTTTCAAAGACTAAAATGGGATTCTATTACAGATTCACTTCAAACCAATTGCCAGAACGTTTGATTTTGAAGGCTTTAGTGGGTGAGAAATTGGTTGATATATGAAAATGTGTGTAACAATAATATACATCGCCGTTTATAGAAAAGGTTCATAAACATTCCTCAAAGATTATACGATTAAAAGTTCATGCCATAACTATAATAAATAAATTGTTTGTTAGATAGGAAACATGAAACTATGTGGTAGCGCTGCAATAGAATCTCATTTCGCACCGTAGGCGTTGTAAAAGGCGACTATGGATATTGCCAGATCTCATGGCTTCCAATAAATGAAGGTATAGCCATCTTGTTTACGCTTGATTAAAGATTAAAGTGCAAGACGTATGATAATGTTGACAATCACATTTTAGCAACCGCGTGCCAAGCCATATCCACCCTACAACATGTAAAGCTCATTTCTTACTTAACTATAAATTTTTTTATAGGATAGGGTAAAAAACGAGCACACAGTTCACCTGATGGTAAGTGGCTGCTGTGACCCATAGACATCCACATTTATCCTCAATGAAGAATCAAAATGCAGATGCGTCGTCACCCGTGAGGACTAAGATGGAATGCGTCTTTTCCAGTAAAATGGGTCTATGGGTTACCTAGACTCACCATACGAAACACAGCAGTGTCAAGCTGCCATTTTACGCTGGTATTCTGTGAGAGCGTGGTCCTCCCCGGTCGAGCCGACCCATTCGTGCTACAACTATATTACTAATATCGCTGCAGCATGGCTCTACCACGTATAAAATAATTTCACATTCTGATCTTTAGTGTTATAGCACCGATTCCTTTTTAGATTTTTCTTCTTTTCAGTTCTTTGAATTCGGATTTCAGTTTTTTTAATAATTATTTTTGGTTTACGTTTAAATCATTGACGTGTACAAAATAGTATACGGTATTCTTCTTATTTGGGGTATTTTCAGACTGATGTTAAGACAGTAGTTGTAATTAGTATAAACAAGTTGCTATTTTTATAAGCATCAAAGGAAACTTTCTGGAAGAAAACAATAGAGAATTGAATCTAAGTTGTGTTTTCACCGCAATTTCAACAACGAGGAACTTTTAATTGAATGGTAGGAAGACGTTCTTGTTCTGTTCAGTCTGTTTTATGTTTGTAGCAATTGATTCATTCTTTCATATAATTAACTATTTAAAGATTTTTTTAAAATGTTGAGTAAATATATCTGCAGTTTATTATAATGAGATTTTTTTTTATAAAACCGAAATATTTCTAATATCTTATAGTCCACCTGATCGTAAATGGCTACTGCATACCATGGATAGGCAACTTCAAACAAAGAACACAAAAGATGCGTGTACCTCTAAGTACTGTTAAGTAATGTCTCAGAGACTGTTATATTAATTATACTGGCTCTTGTTACCTTTCAGAGCGGAACACCGCAGTGCAAGCATTGCTATTTGGCGATAGAAATAGGTAAAAGGGTGGTACATACCCATACGGACTCCTAGGCAAAGAAATAGTCTTTCTATCTAATAAATAAGGGATATTTGAGCTATTTCTCATTTTTCATATTTCAATTAAATCTTTTTAAGACGTGAAGTGTGCCATAAAACAGCATGATGTATGGAAATGCCACTCTTATTTTATGAAAAATAAATGTGTGTGAAATAATATTTATCAAAAGCTAGGTATGCAATGTTGTGTGTTAAATGTCTGCGCATGTGAATTAGTGGAAACCATGAAAGAAGTTAACTTCAAAGTACACTTCAATTTATTTTGTCTGTTTAGGCGCCTTGAGATACTTTCGTCAAAATGTCCCTAAAACTTGGCAATGAGACACATAAATTATTGTGAAGAATTTATAAACCATAGGATAATTTATTACTTGACACTGGCAAAAATACAACCGTACGCGGCCATTACCAAAAAATGTATGTGAAATAAGGTCTAATCAAAGATAAAAGTCCAATATTGGAATGATTGTGTATTTGTAATAAGTCAGTCGTTAATGGCATGTATCGCTCGCATTCATTATCATATTAATGTGCGGGATATTTCGTAGCAATAAAATAGGTGTAAAAAGACTGGGTCAGGGTTTGTTAACGCAGACTATTGAAATCCGATCTCATTATTGTGTGTTCTCTATCTATTAGATCTTATGCTTTTTAATTTGGTTAAAAGGTTCCACTCAATTGTAATTTAACAACTAAGCGAATAGTTATCCAGAGAATTGGCTATATAATAATATTAATGCTTTGAAGTGGGCTTTTATTTTAATATAAAGTTATTTTTTCCTTTAAAACAGCTTTGTTTAAGAATATTAAATTCTTATACTTTGCTATTATCTACTTAGAAAACAAAATATTCTAAGAAAACAAAATATTCTAAGAAAATAAAATTGAATATTGTATTGTGTCTCTAAATATAAACATCGATTTTTATGAGAGTCGTATATTGCTTTCTTTTGTTTAAGACGATATTGCTTTTTCTTTTATAGAAACTTTCCTAAGCAGTAAAAAAAACTGTACATGTTACTAAAATACTAAAAACTGACTGATTTTGATTTCAGATTTGTATACACACACACACACAAATACACAAACACACACACACACACGCACATATACACGCACATACACACGCATACACACATATATACACACATATACACATATACACACCTACACACACACATATATACACACATATACACACTTACACACACCCACACACACACGCACATGTTAAATATAAAATAACTGAAACAAGTTTATTCATTATGTAACCATTTATATACCAAAATGAACTTAACAAAACATAGATTCTTATGACACTAAAGTTTATTCAAAATGACCTCCGTGATTTTGAATACAGGCCTTCAATCTGCGCGGCCAGTCGTCTATCGCAGCACGAACGAGGTCCATGTCAATATCGGCGGCTGCCTTAATCAAGGATGTCTTGAGTTACTCCAAATTGGGATGAGGCTTTGAGCACGCCTTTTCCTCCAAGTGTTGCCATATCTTGTAATCTAACGGATTCAAATCTGGACTGGAGGAGGGCCAGTCTTCGTGCCGGATGAAGTCGATTTCACGCGCCGCCAGCCAGTCTTGTGTGCTCTTCGCTCTATGAGCTGGCGCCGAATCTTGTTGGAATACCCAGTGCCTGTTATTGAACATGGTATGAGGAACAGGTTCCACAAGGTTCGTCAGGACTGTATTTTGATACACAACTGCATTCGTTTTTACACCTTTCTCACAAAAATGTACCTCTGTTAAGCCCCAATAAGAAACTCCCAACCATACCATGAGCGAGGATGGAAAATGATCTCGTTGGACACGCGGAATACGGTTGCTCGCTTCTTCACTACTGTGTGCGTACACCTTATCATTTTGTTTGTTGTAGCTCTCTTCTACGGTAAAAATTTTTTCATCCGAAAAAGGAATTTCCCGATATTTTTTTCCCGCGGACCGCTTCAACAAAGCGCGGCATCTCTTCAGTCTCAGGTCCATTAGACGAGCATTCAAACGATGTCCTGTTTTTCTTCGATATGCCCGAAGCCCTAAGTCTTCATTTAACACCCTTTTCACCGTGGTTCTGTTTAACCCCATCTGAAGGGCCAACAGTTTCTGTTTATGTTTGGGATTTCTTTGAATTCGCGCCTTCACAGCTTTTATCACTGCTGGAGTCCTAACAAACCGAGGGCGACCACTTCTTGACCTGTCATCTACACTAGAGTCTTCATTGTATCGTTTGATTGTACGATAAACGAATCTTTTGGTTATATTCAAATTTTTCAGGATGTCAAAAATTTGAATTGGCGCGTAACCGCAACGATGCAACGCAATAACTGCAACACGATCTTCTTTAAGCGTCCACTCCTCATTTTCTTAAATTCTTCTCACTCACGTATTTAAAAATGAGTAAAATTCTAAAAAGTATACAGTTTTATTTTCATGAACAATTCGAAATTCGAATTCAATAAAGAAAGTGTTACAAATCAAATTTATGTTGCAGAAGTGAACGGCAAGTCGGGAAGGGACGCCCTAGACGAAGGTTTATCGACCGAATGGCAATATATTGAAAATGGGCCAGATTAGGAGTACCCTTAACCGACGAGCGTGTATGCGTAGATATATGGATGTAAAGAAGACGAGAGTGGTGTGTCAGGATCGTGCCAAATGGAAGTCCATAGTCTCTGCCTACCCCTCTGGGTGACAGGCGTGAGTGTTTGTGTGTTGTATGTGTATATAACTCTCCTATTTAGTAAATATTGAAATCAAATTAAATGTACATGTTATCAAATTTTCAAAGAGAAACCCAAAAATTTAATCAGTCTGATACAGTCCTTAACCTTTTTAGCTTGCGGTCCTAAATACAGATATATTTAATTATATAATATATCGGGGATGTAGGGTAGAAGATGAAAGCGAATAAATAGAGATGAAGATAGATCAGGGAACCCATACTCGTTAGTGCAATATAAAGTTAATTACAAGTTGAAATTCCGCTTTCACACACTCTTCTTATTTTTAACAATTGACCTCCATGTATTTTGACATACGTTTAAATTTTATTTGCACGAGATGTACATAAAGGCGAAGTTAATATCTTTGGGGTAAGTAGAGAAAATAATGAGTGAAAACATGAAGTGCAAATAAAGAGTGTCTGTGTTGAACTGAATAAGTTATAATATTTTAATAATTTATCATTTGCATAGGCTACTTATCTGATTTCCTAAATATTATTTATGTAGTTTAGAAGAGAAGTGCGCATGCAAAAATTTGGCGTAAGTCTCATCTCGGCAACGTTTTTTTTTTAAAGGAGAGGGGGCAAATGAACATGCGGCTCACCTGATGGTAAGTGACTACCGCCGCCCATGAACAGCTGCAACACCAGGTAGGTAATCGCAGATGCGTTGCCGGCCTTTTAAATAGGAGTACGTTCTTTTCTTGAAGGTCCCTAAGTCGTATCGGTCCGGAAAAATCGCTGATGGTAATCGATTCCACAAGGAAGTCGTGCAAAGAAGAAAACATCTTCTAAATCGTACAGTGGTGGACCGCCAATCATCCAGATAGTGTGGATGGTATCGGGTGTTCTGCCGCGATGTGCGTTCGTGAAATTTGGCGGCTGGGATTAATCCGAACGATTCCTCAGAGCACTCCCCGTGGAAGATGCGAAAGAAAATGCAAAGGGATGCAACATCTCGTCGCAGTGCCAATGAATCGAGCCGATCGGAAAGGACTCGGTCGTCGACGATTCAAGCCGCTCTGCGCTGGATGCGGTCAAGTGGAAGGAGCTGGCATTGGGGAACCCCTGCCCAGAGATGGGAACAGTATTCCATGTGAGGCCCAACCTGCGCCTAGTAAAGTTGCAGGCGGTGTGCCGGCATGAAATACTGTCCCGCTTTGCTGAGCACGCCAAGCTTTTTAGAGGCCAATTTGGTCTTCTCTTCCAAGTGACCATGAAACTGCACGTCACTCGATATGTCGACTCCGAGGATTCCGATACTGGATGAGGCTAGAAGGGGAGTGCCTTGAAACTGAGGAGATACGACAAAGGGGTTCTTTTTAGCGGTAAACGCGCAAACTTGTGTCTTCTGAGGATTAAACTGGACTAGATTTATTCGCCCCCAATCCGAGACTTTGTTCAGCAAATAAAGTAAATAATGTCGGCAAAAAATAATTCTCCAAAATAATGGATGGAATGGAGAACAAGGAGGTGATCGCGATAGGCCTATAGTTGGACGGGTCTGAGCGGTCGCCTTTTTTAGGGATCGGGTGGACAAAAGCTGTCTTCCATGAATTCGGAACTACGCCTTGGGAGTAGGAGTACCGGAAAAGACGCGTTAGGACCGGTGCCAACTCCGGAGCACACGTCCTCAGCCCAATTGGGGGGATTCCGTCAGGCTCACTCGACTTCTGGATGTCCACGGAAAGGAGTGCTTTGCGAACTGAGCGCTGTGAGAACAGCACATCCGGCATGGAGCACACACCGCGGGATGGTCGGCGGTATTTTCCCCCGTCATCAAGAGTCGAGTTGGACGCAAAAAGGGAGCCTAAAAGGTCGGCTTTGTCTGTTGCGTCTTGGGCCAGTGAGTCGTCCTCCCTGTGCAGAGATGGTAGTGATGGCTTACAGAAATTCCCTTGGACAGCCTTGGCGAGAGACCAGAATGCACGGGTTCCCGAAGGAAGGCGAACTAGTTTCTCGCCAATTCTGCCCATGTGCTCTGACTTTGCCTTGGCAATAACTCTTTTGTAGGACCTGGAGGCGAAGTTATACTTCTTTTTAAGTGTGCTGGTGTTTAGTGCGCAGCCCAGGCTTGATAACACTCCTGCTTACTGCGTAATGCAGTCTTACAGGAGCGACAAAACCAAGGCTGAGATCTGCCTCCGATGGGTACCATAGATGATGGAATAAATAGTTCCATCCCCTGTAGCACCACATCAGTGACAGAGTCAGCAACAGCGCTGGGATCATCCGGCGAGAAGCAAACCTGCCCCTATGGGTAGGATGCAAAGAAAGACCGCGTTCCGTCCCAATCCGCCGACCTGTAATGCCAAACACGGCGGCAACCTGCAGAACGCAACCGTGAGGGGAGCGTGAGTGGCACCACACTCCGGATCAGACAATGGTCCGAAGAGACGAGAGGGGCATCGACGAAAACCTGATACCCGTCCGGGTTGTGTCAGACCATATGCCAAGGCAAAGTCATAAACAGATCTCCTCGCATGATCGGTTAAACGTGAACCGAGCCATTCGGCGTGGTGGGCGTTAAAATCAACAAGGATCACGATCTCTGCGGATGGGACCTGTTGTAGCAAAGAATCTGTAGCCATTTGGACGTGGTCGATGAGTCGGTCTGTTTCGGCATTACCGCTATGGGACCTATAGAGGCACCCGTAGGCGCGCGGATGGTCGTCGCTGTCTACGCGTAGCCATAGGATGGACAGGTCCGAGCCTTCAAGACTGCCGAGGCGTCGAGAACAGATGTCCTCTCTGACATCTGTTCTCGACTCTGATAATTTGGCTATCAAAAACCAATTTTAAAACGGACAAAAACAGGAACACCCGGCCTTAATCGCCACACTGCGGGCGGGTTGGCTTTGACTATCGCAGACCGTGCGTCTACGTGGGTGGGTCTGTAGTCAGAGTGGGGCGGTACATGAAGTACCTGGGGCTCCACCTGGACAGTCGCTGAGGCTTCGAAGAGCACTTTGAGCGCCTAGTCCCCCGGATTGAGAGGGTGGCGGGTGCTATGCACAGACTGCTGCCCAATCTAGGGGGACCGAGGGAGGAAATACGCCGCCTCTATGCGGGGGTAGTACGGTCCGTAGCCTTATACGGGGCACCTGTGTGGGCAAAAAGGCTAGCCATCCGGCGCTGTAGATCTAAAATCTACAGTGTCCAGCGGAGAATGGCTATACGGGTCGTGCGGGGATACCGCACGATATCTTTTGAGGCGGCAACAGTCCTGGCTCGCTTCCCACCCCTAGATATACTGGCGGACATGGATGCAAAGGTGTACAACCGAATCCGCATCCTTCGTCAGAGAGGTGGCAGTGAGCCAGATGAGGCGCTCGAGTCGATAAAACGGCAGGAGCAGCAGAACGCTTTGGCGATGTGGCGCACTCGACTCAACGAGGAGCGCTATGCCCACAAACGTGTTATTGGCGCAATCCTGCCGGTCTTCGAAGCCTGGATGCAGCGACGAGTAGGAAGACTCACCTACAGACTTACACAGATAATTACCGGGCACGGGTGCTTCGGTGATTATCTGTGTAAGATCGGACGCGAAGCGACGGCGAACTGCTTCCACTGCGGTGGACAGGATCAGGACTCCGCGTCCCATACGCTGGCAGTATGTCCAGCGTGGGAACGGGAGCGAATGATCCTGGCAAACCGGGTCGGTCGGGACCTCTCCCTGCCAGCAGTCGTGTCGGCGATGTTGAGCGGGGACTCGGCATGGAGGGCCGTAGCCACCTTCTGTGAGTCCGTAATGGTCCAGAAGGAGGCTGCTGAGCGGGATCGGAGGAGGACAGATCCCGCTTGAAGACGACGTCATCTAGGCGTTCGTCACGGTCCTCCCTCTGAAGATGGTGTTCCCCTACCAGAAACGGGGCCTCTGGGGTTACAGGCGTTTGGAGCGGGGGCCTCGAATGCCTCGTAACGTAACCCC